GTCTATTCACAGTGTCACGTCATCTGACTTTTCTCTCTTCTCTCACTACCCAATACTATTTCCAATCAGCGGCTCTTCTTTTTCTTGTAATTTGGCGGATGCCTTCTTCAGAAAAAGAGCTTCAAGCGGATGCGTTGGAGCTCTCTCCGCAATTATCGTCAGAAGACTTCTTAGAGAATTCGCAATTCAATTCAAGAGAAGAAAAAGAAGAGAAAGAGTTTTCCTTTTTCTTACTCATAAATACTTTGTTAACTCAAACTTTTTATTATTTTACTTCATCTAAAATTCTTCTTTCATCTTCATTCGCTCTCTTCCTGCCCGTTTATAGTTTTACGTCATTTGAGAGTTACTTTTTATAGCTTTCAACAAAAATAATGGAGAATATGTCTTCATTGATTTACAGTATTATTCTGGTACAAAAATGTGTGGAAGAGAAACGCCGGTGGCCGTGCCCAAAACTTCCACAACGGCAACTACAGTAGCCTAGTTACGGTAGTTGTCGCTATGGGACCTCCGGCACCGGCTGCTGGTGTTTGTTACCCATAGTTCACACTTTTGTGTAAGAATATTACCGGCAACGATTGACCTTAAAGTTTTTCTTTGGAAAAAATTCTGGGAGTCTGAAAATTTGTTTTTTTTTCAGAACTATAATATTTCTCTTTTGTTGTAGTTGTCAACTACAGAATATGAGTTATGCTCTTGTTTTAAGTTTTCTGAAATTTTTGGGTTGCCGAAAAGCGTACAAACGGCGAAAGACAATTATTAGTAATCGACCCATAATAAAAACATAATTTTAAAGAAAAATATAAGAAAAAAAAATCATTTTTCAAAGATTTTATGATTTTTTTCTTCGTTAAAGGACATTTTACGAAGAAACGTATTTTTAATATACTGTCCTATCAGTGATGATTGCCTTTTATACTTTTTGTCAAAAATGTTTCCTATTTGCTAAAAGGCGAAATTATAGCCAATTATAGCCATTATAGCCATTATAGCCATTATTAAACGTTCAGCCGCCGTTGATACGCTTTTCCGCTACCTCCGCCTTATTTGTGTAGTGATCTGAAATAAAACATCTCAAATCTATTTTCCTGTTCCATGATTAATATTTCTGTTTTTCTTTTACCTGGAACCGTTTTTTTATTTGTCTAAACTTTCTTTACGGCATCATGTTCCAGACATAATCAATTTTCTCCCAAGAGAGAAACAGAATTCGTCAGGGAGTACAGGAAAAAAAATCAGTTTGTTACTCATGACGAATTCCCCAATCAGTCTTGTCTACCATGGCATAGTTTTGCTCATGTCTGTGTTTTCAGAGATAAAATCTTTAAAAATTTGAGGAGAAGGCACTTGGTAGGCACTCGAAATCTGGTTTGGGATTTCAGAACAGGTTTTTGGTTTGGAAAATTTAACTCAGTTTTCTCAAAAGTTCGGTGAATTCGAATTCCGATTTGGTTTGAAGAGAAAAAGACCAATAGTTTAATTAACTTCAAGCTTTTTTTCGATTTTCATTTCCTCAGCGAGTTAGAAATTTTAACAAGAAATACACTTCCCTGTAATCCTATATATTGAGTTTAAGCTTTTTTATTGAATATGATATCATTCCTACCCTCCCCATCACTTTTTTGATCAAATTGTATCCTCAAAACGAAATAGACCAAGCGGAACTTTTCGATTAAATTTTGTGGACGGGCACCCACTTTAGTATCTGGAAATTCGATATTCACACTACTTTTTGTACGTTCTTGCACATTTTTTTTTGAAAATCTTCCTTCTTTCAAATTTTCAGACATCTTTTTCTTCTAATCCTTCTTGTTTTGTTTTCAGACTAGGCTACTTTCTAAGTGGTAATTAGGGTAACTTCCCTTTCTGACTCTTACGGAGGCGTTCCCAAAAGAGGATAAAGTCATTAAGAAACAAGGCAATTTGAGAAAGTCTATGTTTTTCATTAATATTTTGATCCAAGTAAGATTATCTGGATTTCGTTGAACTGCCAAATATTTATAACATTAAATGGAAAGGCGAAGATTTTTGATTCTATTAGGTTGATAAGAAAGTTTCTTTCTTTTTTGGCAAAACTTTTGATCAAATTTTTCTCAATGCGGAGGGAGCTAGATCAATGAAAGTAACATTAGCATCAATAGTTGTCTGGCAACGCTCCGGTAATTTCTTGATTCCATCGGCCCAGAACGAGGAGGGCTGCGATTGAAATAGTGGGACTACTCCTTTTTCGTGCCATCTTTTCACTTAAAGTATTCTCTATCAAGATGACGTTAAGGAGCTCCAAAATATTACTTTTCCTGAAGGGCAAGGTCCGGAGAATACGATGAGTGCAAAATAACAATTCAGCCAAAGGTCATGAATTTATGGCTGATCCCTCTATTCACAAGCGATCTCGCATTGCCGCACTGGAAGCAAACTTTGGTTTGTTCTCCTCTTTTGATTAGACTGTCAAGTTCATATTTTCTAATTATGAACTACACAAGGTGACAGCTATTGTGGTACCTTCAACTAAAACTTTGACCGACCATCAAACTCATAGCATACCTATTTTTAAGGAAAATTTAGGTTCTTGGACGTCCAGAGCTAGCTATTTCTTGGCAATCAACTGACCCTTCCGCACATTGACAGAGTAACTTACGCACTTATCATCAACTGTAATGACATCATCCAGCCATTTGAACGTGCGAAGAAATGATAGGTGAAACATACCCATGTCTACATGACGAAACATATTGTAGTCCGGAAAACACGGTGTACGAATCAACCCAGATTTTGTCTTTGCCAAGAGACTTCGCTCCGGCCACAATACTTAGTTAACTAGAGGACAATGCCTGTGACATTTTACAAATGGTTTGAAATGGATGCACCTCCCCGGTTTTTAGCAATTGGTGAAGATCCGACTCACTAGGCCGTTGGCATCTTTCAAACTGAACTCTATTGTTTGGAATTCCTCAAACAAAAGGCAAATTGTAGGCGATGACGGAACATGTCCCTTATATACATCCACAATTTTCTTCCAAATACCAGCTGTTTGAAGACCGAATAAAAATAAAAATATAATCAAGTTGCCAATGTGCAGTCGGATAAGGACTAAAACAATCGCCATTTCTTCAACACGAATAGAGATGAAAATTCGAAAATCTAGGATCTAATAGCCACTGAACACAGCTCTCTAACAAAAAAAAATTGGCCCGCTAAACCAGTTGGAGCGCCAGATATCGATCCTCAAAAACAACTCTGCCAAAAAGAAAGAAACTTTCTTATCAACCTAATATGATGGATTCTATGACATTATTTTCTCTTAACTTGTATAACTTTTTTGCAAAAAATATAAAGAAATTATTGCAAAAAGTATTTTTTTTCAGCATTGAACCAAAAAAAAAGTACACAAAAGTCATAATCAGCAATCAACACATTTTTTACATATTCCATGAGATTTTTGAAACAAAGGTAGTATTTATTATAAAGGTAGTATTTATTATTCGAAGACGAACAATCAGAACTGTGAAAGAGAAAAAGAGAAAAGCCGGTTGCCCTAACTGAAGGTCCCACAACGACAACTACAGTAACCTAAAAAATTTTCCGAATTTTTTTTTCTCGTTTTTACTGCTTTTTGTCGAGTTTTCTGTTATTTTCCCCATGTCCCCGGAAAAGTCGCAAAATACAACTTTTCGACGGTGAAAAATTGACTGAAAATATAAAGAAATTGAGCTTAATAGAAATATACTTTTAGGTTACTGTAGTTATCGTTGTGGGACCTTCGGCCACGGAAATCGGCGTTTCTTTCCTTTTTTAGTTCCAGAGTGTTTTGTTCGGTAAGCAATTTTTGATATTCGTATACGTATACGAGATCGTATGAACGTTTTGTTAGTTGATTATTTTTAAATATTTTTCACAGGAGCCGAGAAAAATTGGCTCAACTCTAACAGTGATTTTCCAACTCCACTTTTTCTTCTTCTCGGAAACTTCCTTGTCCATACGTGTCGAAACATAACCAAAAAAAAAAATAAAGAAATAGTTGCCATTGGTTTCCATGTTTCACATAAACCTGTCACTACAGTTTGAGAGATTTACGGCAGTATCCATGACTACTGTTTGGTATAAAACAAAAGAAAAGGATGACTTGACATCGTCGAGCCATCGAACCCTTCTTCAAAGTTTCCTTACTCTTCCTTCTTTTGAATTATCTAGGTCTGCTGAATGCAAACCGGAAACTATTTTTATCACGTGATTTTTCATGCAAGCGAAGTAAAAAGCAAAGAATGTGGTCCACAAAATATAACGCGGTCTTCGGAAGATGTGACGTCTTCTTTCTTTTCTCCTCTTGAAGACCAATATAATTTGCTTCGGAACCCTTTGCTTGTGCATCCTAATTCAAATGCCAAACTCGGCAGACGAGAGATCTACTTTTGCTTCTTCTCTGAAAACCCTATTTCTTGCTTCCTTTTCGTCTAACACCTCCAAAACGAAATATCCTTTCCGAAAGCAACAGATTTTTGTAATTTTTATAACTTCTAACCGCAGTTAAAGTTCCGAAAAACATTTCGAAAGAGTGACGTGGGTCTCATCCGGCATCTAAATCAACTCTCTATTCTGTGTTGAAAAAATAGAAAAATCTTTCTTCAGTGTAACCAAAGAGTCCTCCAAGATTTCGACTTCGCAGTTTTTTCTCACTGCAGTGAAGTTTTCGATTAATCTTGAAATGTGACTGAGACCCGGAAATTGAAGTTTGAGGCGGGAAAAGTTCGTTTGAAAAACGAACGAAACTCATTAAATTCAGTGTTTCTTGCACAATCAAGACATTCCAATTTCCCATCGTCACGAATCCCGCCCCTCTTAGTATCTCATGGATCCATAAAAGCCTCAGATTTTCAACTCATCAAATAGTTGTCACTATCGTTTACCCTTTACACAAAACGAGTTAATCATTATTAAACTTTTGTTTTCAGAATCAGTTACTCGCTGCTCGTACACATCGGCGAGTCTCTGTGTTCCAAATGGTCTCTACAAGAGGGGTACTCCTTTTGCTGTCATTGATGGCCGCAGTAGCCGCATTTGGTCTCTTCTCGAGGCCTGCACCAATCACCCGAGACACCATTCGACCACCACGCACCAAACAAGGCTCGCTCAAACTGTTCCCCCAGGTAAAACTATTTAGCGAACTAACATCCACTTCAACAACACACTTCCAGGCGGAGCATCTTTCCTCGACGCTTTCAATCTGATCTGCCCAATGCGTCGGCGACGCAGGAGTGTGTCTGAAAACTACAACGACGGTACCGGAAGTCTCCTGGGCAGAACAATGAATCACTGCTGTGAGAATGGCTGCGAATTCACCGACATCTTCGCGATCTGCAACCCGTTCGGATAAATGCCTTCCCATGTTGCCCTCTAATTTGAACTACATAATAAAACATTTTCTTTGCTTTCTATATCAGCCAACTCCATCTTGCGCCCGCTTGTCACTTTCCACCACTTTGTATGTACCCCGTCATCAAGCTTGTTGGGTTCTAGATCTCATAAATGTTTCGTTAACAAAACTACGCGTTGTGTTTCCAGAATTTTGTTGTATGTAATCATAAAAACGAATTCAATTTTAACATTTATCGCGAAGCGATGTAACAATGAAATTGAGACTTAGACTTCTTGTTGAACTGGTGGTTCGTAGTCGTCTGGGCGGTCAACCTTCTCTCCGTCGGCTCCAACAGTGATCGAGTCTCCGTGCAAGTCATGGAGTCTTCCGAGGTCGATCTTCGGTCTCTTGATGATCTTAACCTTGCGGATGTAGACTTCTTGGAGTGGGTAGAGCTTGGAGCAGGTCTTCTCGATGTCTTTTCCAATGGAGTCTGGAATCAGCTTGCTGACAACCTCCTTGAGGTCGCATCCAGTCACCTGCAAACATGAAAACAGTAATCAAAATAAGTTGATAAATAACATACCTCCTTCTCGATGCAGGAGATCATCTCGGAACGGATCTTGCGGATCTTTGAGGTCTTGGTGTAAGAAGTCTTTTTGACTTGGTTGGCAGACTTCTTGGTGAAGGCGATGACGAAGACGCGAAGGGTGTATCCATCGGTGGTCTTGACAGCGGTGTTAGCCTCGATAAGAGTGTGCCACTTCTTGACGATGGAGCACAACTTGTCGTGGGTCATCGACATAGCGTGGAAGTTGGTGAGGACGTTCTTTCCTTGGACATCTTCAGCGATGAGCTTGAACTTTCTGAAGTCAGCTTCAGAGTTGTTCAAGTCTCCGAGGGAGACCTCGAAGACACGTCCCTTAAGTCCTTCAGAAGCGATCTTGGTTCCTTGGGTTCTGTTGATGAGGGTCTTTCCAACCTGAAAAAAATAATTAAAACGAATAATGCAGACAGAATAATACCTGACGGGTGTTGAACATGTTTGGAGCCTTGATGTCATACCACTCCTTGCGAGAGAAGGGGTCCACGGCCTTCTTCTTTCCTCCTTTCTTTCCCATCTTGTTATTGTTCTTTCCGACCGCCATATTTGAAGCGGATTGATACCAAGCTGTGTCTGAAATTAGGAAAATTGGGTGATACTAGGACAATACAGGTGAAGCTGAAGTACAGTCCGAAGATAAGAACAATTAATACCCAAAAGAAATTATAATTTTACTTTTTTTTAATGCATTAATTCTTCGAAATTTATTTGAAAAAAATCTTAATAAAAAAATTATGTTCAAAATCCAGCCCGGCAGTAACGGTCGAAAAGTAGGAAAATCCCAAAAACTTTTGTGAGTGGAGAGAGATGCGAAGCAAGTGTACGCTGTACACTCCGCTCGACGCTCCACAATGCGGTTTACCGTAGTCTCGGCGCGTGAGGGGCAACTTCTCAAACAGGCTCTCGTTTTCACTCGTTCGAGCGCTTACTCCAGACGTTTTCTGGTATTTCTAGAAATAGAAAGAAATCTGAATTATAAATGCATTTCCTACTGTAATTTAATACAAATTTCGGCTGACTAAACCAGTTTTCGTTACAACTGTAGGCCAAGTTTTGACTCCCGTCGATGGATGTTCGCGCCAAAATTTTGAGCGTTCGGCGCCAAATGTCTCCGTTTTGTTAAAATTGAAACCTTAAATCCTTTTTTATTCTTCTGATAGGCCTATCAGGTGTATAACTAGCTAGGAGATCCATCAGCTTTCGCCTGTCTTTGTTGGGAATCGATAAAAACACGATTACAAGGCGTCCTTTCTGCGCAGCAAACTTTCCTCATGAATGCAAGCAGTGCCTCGTTGTTCTGATTTAAAGCCAAAATAATTTCAAAAGTTTTATTTTCAGTGTAAATATGACTAGTCATCTAGACGACGAAGCTATCATCCCCATGGTCTCAACCCTTCTCGGCACCGGAGGAACCCTTCCGACGCCGCCAATCAGAACATACAGTCGGGAACGAATGATGGAACTGAGAACCACGAAAGCAAGCATGACGAGGCCGGAAAACCTTTCAGAAGATTACAATGGGTTAGTGTCATTGCAAGAAAAGATGTGAAAGTAAATTACAGCGAGGATGGAAAATTTTCTCCCTTGAAATGGCTTGAGCACCGATGGGAAATTGAAGGGATCAAAAATCGTCCTATGTCGAAAAAAATTGATTCGCTATGCGCTGGCGCTGACGAAAATACGGGTCTTTCTCCACAACGGAGAGCATTTATCGGTGGCTGCAAAGCACCAAATGATGACAAAGCTCGAGACGGTATCCAAACAAGCGCTAGGTTAAAACCATGTACTGTATTCTTTAGGAGAATACGAAAGATTGGGAGGTCATGGGAAGAATTGGAGAAATGGAAGCACTGGGGGCGCTGATAAGTTTGCTCCTAGAGGAGCTGACTTTAAGACGTCATTCGTAAGTGTTCATGCATATCACATAATTGTATCGTTGGGTTTCAGCAAAAAGGAGGGCAGCTTGATAGGGGCGGTGCTCGTGGGACTGAGTGGAAGAAGGAATCGGTTCGAGGCGCCAAGTTCGGGTCAAGACGAGAGGATCGTATGAATAGTGTTAGCGGCAGTGAGAAGTTGCCTGAATGGGCTGATGGGCCGACGACTATGGATGATATGATCGAGCTCCGCGGATTTGATGAGCCAAAGAGTGAGAAGTGATAATATCTCATTTATTATATTTTATCGTTTACAGAAGGCAAAGCTAAGAAAAATCCAAAGGAGAAGAAGGAGAAAGAGGTAAAGCAGCCAGAGGCTACGGAGTGCGTTGCATCTCGCCCTTCTTCTACGGGAGTGAAAACTGCTGAACCTTTCGATGATCCAGCAATCGCCTACTCGTCCGGTGGTGGAGCTCTCCCTGCGACGGATCAAGAGCTGGCTGCTCTTTTGGGATGCCTCGACATTCAAAAAACTTCTCGGAAGACGGACAGTGAAGACATGACGATCACTCAAAAAGGCGACGACTCCGCAGGCGGTACTAGTCGCCTTAGTCGATTCTTCGGAAAGAAAAGCAAGTCTCCAGAACTGGACGCCATTCTTGCTTCTGCTGGGGGAGGTAATGATGAAAACATAGCCAACCCCATGCTCGCTAAACTATTTGGACATAGCGGTGGTGATAACAATGCATCTTCTTCTGGACATAGTGACATAAAGGGAGGAATGAGATTGGAGGATTTGGAGAAAGGTGTCGAAACGAAAGAACAACCCAAGGGAAGTCCACTGCAGGATCCGTCTCAACAGGCACAACTGATGCATCATCTTCAAAAGTTCGCTAAGCAACAAGCCGAAGCTGCACAACATATGCAACACCACAGACAGGCCACACCACCAAATGTTGGCCCACATCACCAACAACAGATGCATCACCCAATGGTTCATACAGGAATGCCGATACTCGCTGACCCAGCTCTTCTTGCCAGCTTTGCTCAAAACCCTTTAGTTCTAGACGCATACGTTGAGAACCAACTCCAGGAAGCTATCAATGCTGCTGTTCGTGCAAATAATGGACAACAACTTCCAGCACAGCTCCGTAAGTTCGAGTGTTATCTCTACAGATCAAAAGTTTAAGTCAAATATTCCAGGTGAACAATTGAGGATGGCATCGATGCGCAACAAAGCATTCCTTCAGTCGCAAACTCTCACATTTGTAACTTTACAACAGCACCAACAAAATCTCCAGCAGCATCACCAGCAACAACAGCATCATCAACAGCAAAAAGGCCGTACCCCAGCTATGATTCCTGCTTCAGTACAACGCCAGCTTCAAAAAGGTACTTCGAATGCCGAGCAGAAGAAGGAAAAGTCTAGCCAAAGCCCACCGGAAGGTGGTCAGGAAGGTTCTGATGCTCAGACTCAATCAGATGCTGCAAATCATTTGAAGAAGTTGCAAATGCAACAGAACTATGCTAACATGGTTCAGGCTATGAACTCAGGAGTTGGTTGGCAACGGGGAAATGGTGCTGTCAACGGTCAGCAACAACAGCTTCCACCAAATGTGCAAATGCTCATGCATCAGCAACAGCAGCAAGCGCAAATGCATCACATTAAAATGATGGTGTCTCGTGCTCAACAACAGCAACTCCTCATGGCCAAACTGGCTCATATGCAACAGCAAGCACAGGTCAGTTATCAAAGTGGTGTTCTTTTTATTAATGAATTGTTCATATGCAGATGGCTGGTATGCAAGAGAGACAAGCTTCTAGTCACAACCATCACCAACAGCAAGCGATGCCTTCCGAGCTTTCCCAGGTGAATAGTAGTAACAATTTCAGTCTTAACTAATCCATCTCAGGTCGGACCCATCCAAACGCCTCTCGAGAAGTTGCTGGCAGCAGCTGGAGTTCAGGGTTCCCAGTTCACAGGTATTTTTTGAAGTCTCATAAATTTTTCATGTAATCTTCAATACAGGATCTGGTGATCGCATTCCAACTTCGGCTCGTCCAATGTCACTTGAAGATCTCGAGAAGCAATTAACATCAGTTCCAAAGTAGAACGTCTTATGTGTTTCCCAGTTTGAAAATAGCAGTGTTCTTTGTTCTTCATACCCCTTCACATATATTACATGTTTATCGCTTACCATCCAAGAAGCGGGTACAAATAGTCATGTATTCGTATTGTTTTGCTTCTCTCTTGTTCATGTAATCCTATCTTTTTTTTGCTCCCCCCACCCCTCATGTTTCATCAAATTCGCTTTACCATCGCTATTTGCTTTGATTTTCTCTAAAGATATCAAAAATCGAAGGAAACAGCGGGGTGTCTTCCATGTTTTGGCGTCCAATCGTAGTTGGTTTATCCAATTCTGGATCTCATAATTTCTCCCCGTAATAAGTTTGTTTCTTTTCTTTTTCATTTTTTCTAATGATGTTCCACTTTTTTTTGTTATATTGACGACTCTTCAACGTGTTTATTGATCCCCCCGCTGCTCGAGTAGTACTCGGTAGTAAAGCGAACTCCTCTGACTCCAGGTGCCTTGCTCCGGGTTCACAGGATCCCCCATTTCTGAATCATTTCACTTTTCCCTTTCCCCAAAAGAAAGCCCAGTCTTTAAAGTTGTCTATAATTGAACACTATGTTCACTCCTCATGTTTTCCTGTATGCTGGTTTTCCACTTGTTCCTCCATGCACACCCACATCCTTCCAAATCCCTTTTACGAAAATGGTTGTATAAAAACTACCACAGAGACTTTCTAGCATCCTTAATGGTTGTAAAAAAGATCTCTCCAAAGTAGGAATAGTTTTACAAGGGTACACTCATTTTCTTTTCCGTCTCTTTCCCCCATCTCAAATGAATTGTCACCGAATTTTTGTACATTGCAAGTTTAGTGTCGACAAATTGTAAGACCCTAAATTATCGTGCTCTTTTCCACCTTTTCCTTCTTAGCACACTTTGTGCTTCTTTTTTTGTAAGCAGTTTACCACTTTGTTCCAACTTTTAGCAGGTATATTTCGAGTTCTTATTTTAGAAGGAAGAATTATGCTCTGTGAAAAAGATTCGGATATGGATTAAATGAATGATTGGAGATATGAAAATAGTTTCATTATCACACATTAACAATGAACAATGAACAGCCGACTCGCACTCTCAGTTTCATAACCGGTAGAATATAATTCTGGTACAAAAAAAACGGAGCTATAAAAGCGAAAAAAGAGTGACCGAAGGTCCCACAACGACAACTACCGTAACCTAAAAATACATTTCAGGATTAATTTTCTCGATCTGCGTTTTAGGTGAATTTTTCCACAATTAAAAGTTGTTATTTTCCGACTTGCTTGGCGGAAAAATAAATAACGGAATACTCGAGAAAATAAATCCTGAAAATAAATAATTTTGGGTTACAGTAGTTGATGTTTTGCAATTTGTAGTAAAAAGAGGGCGCATACTGTGACCATGTGGAATGACAGACATTATACCACTACAGGGATTAAAGGTTTCAGTTTTGACGAGTTCGTGATTTTTCGCAAGTTGATAAAATTATGTTATCACGTTGGAAAAAACTACCGTCGGATGAATACAGTACCGCATTGTGCGCTCGAAGTGAATGCAATTAACAAAGAGGTGACGGGAGGTCGTTTTCGACGGTGTTCTACAGAATCGTCACACTGTCTCTCTACTCCTCGGATGACCTTTTGTCTCCTCCTTTATAATATAAAAAGAACTTACAGGACAGACACCACTGTTCTATTTTTGTTCCGTTGTTTGTTTTTTTCATTGTTTTTTGACACGATTCAGAATCAAAACGCTTCGAGAATTGATATGATGAGTTGATGATTTGAAAGCCAGAACATCTTTTTCTTAATCCCTATTGAGCATGATGAGAAACTCAAAAGTTTCGTTATCATGTTGCCCTCTCTTCCAAACTCTTGTTAACATTCTGTCAGTTTTGGTGTGAATTGATGATAACATCAATGAGAGAGTGTGATAGAAATAAACAGACACAGACAGTCAGAAAACCCATATCTTTTCTCTTCTAATTCTGTAGACCAATGTCTTGAACAATATACGAGAATGACACTTTCGACGGCAGTTTTTCTCATTTCACACTTTTTAGAATGGGGTATCTTTCAATTTCGTAATTCTAAAACGTTCCCTTCTTTTGAAAAGTTTTCAATCATTTTGGTACTCCATTAGAATTGTTAATCTAGAAAATCATGAAGACATTTCTGGAAAGGAAACTGAATATTCCACGTTGTTAATGTCTCTAATTCCAATTGCTATTCACCTCGACGCCAATCAATTCTTCCTTATCAAATTCTCACTCCATTAAAATTTTTGTGGAACAAAAAACCGATTCTCTCTTTTTTCCCTCGTTTTCGTTTTCACACTGTTAGGAAGTCAAATGAAGTCAAATTTTTTAGGAGACTGATCTCTTTTTCAATTATTCTAAATTTTCAATTATTCTGGTACAAAAACACCAGAGCTGTGGAAGAGAAACGCCGGAGACCGTGGCCGAAGGCCCCACAACGACAACTACCGTAACCTAAGATATGTTTTTAGTTTTTTTTCTGTGGGACCTTTGGCCACAGCCACAGGCGTTTCTCTTTCACAGATCCATTTTTTTTTGTTAATACTTATACAGAATTCCATAAATCCCGAACGTAGAGAATTTTTTCTGAAAAGAAGAAGAAGCTTATTGAAACATCGAATTTGGTTAGTTAATATATTGGGAAATCAAATAATTAAAAAAGAAACACAGAAAATCATGACAAAAGTGGAGAAAACAACTATGACAGTGAGAAAATCAATAAAAGAGCTTGTCTAACAAGCTCTGTGAGATCAGTGTTTATCATACTTGTAAACGGGGCTCTGGTGGGTCTTCGCAGGCTCTGCCCTAGTTTCTTTTAGAATTATTATTTTTGACCCGATAAATTAGATATTATAGAACTCGACGAGTACTGCAAAATGGTACTATTTGAAAAAACTTCATCTTGCCTATGGTGTAAGTTACAAGACAAAATGCCGCCGAGCAGAACCTTGCTCTGTTTTTTTTTCTGCCCGTTCTGTCTATAACTTTGTTCATTCAAAAGATACAGTTTTCCGAATCAGATCATTTTGTAGTACTCGTCGAGTTCTATCCTATCTGCTTTAATTGGTCCGAAAAATTTATTCTAAAAGGAACTTTGACAGGACCTGGTTTACAAGTATGTGGCTCATAATGGGGAGATTCTTGACCGAAGAAACAAAGTTGCAATATTTGTGAGATTCTCATTTAGTTCATATAACCTAGTTCATTGAATTTGGAACCATCGCATTGATTAAAGGGATAGATGGTTATCAAAATTGGCAAGTCTTTTTTAATTAAAACGATGGAAACAAATGTGGTTCTTTTTTTTTGGAAACCTTGTTCTCTTCTTCTCTTCTTCTTCTTCTTTTTCTTCTTTTTTCTTTCCGTTCCGTTCCTATTCTCTCCTTCACTCACATCAATAAACGCTTTCACAATCACATTTCAGCTGACCCGATGAGGTCGTTCCTCTTGATTCTGGCATTATGCCATTTGGCTCTTTCTTGTACACTTTGCCCTTTTCGGATACCTCCTAGACCTAGACCACTGGATCAGTACAAATTGCCAAAAGTCGGTGGAAAACAATTTGATTTGGAAAAAATGCCGAAATTTTGTAACGCATCGAAACAGTTGCCTGTTGGAGCCGAGTGTCGAGCTCAATTTGAGCACATTTTCTGTTCGGCAGATCGATTGACAGGTTGGTTAGAGAATTTTTAGGAGAAAGGAATTTGAAACCTTCTTCAGATACATTCAGCGGATGTCAATCAATTGTTAACAAATCGTTGAGTGAGCAAGAGCAATGCTCCAAATGTGCGTATCAAAAGGCTGATAATAGTTGGGTGATGAGATGTGAGTTTATCAGTTTTCAGCTATTTTAAAAAGTTTTATTGATAATTTTAAAAAGTTTTATTGATGATTTTAAAAAGTTTTATTGATGGATTTTAAAAAGTTTTATTGATAAAGTTTTATTGATGATATGATATAAAAGTTTTATTGATAATTTAAAGATACCAAATTTAAGGGTTCGACTCGTTGGGAAAGCCAGCTGCGGGAATTACAGAAGGCAATTATTACTGGCTTGGAGACTATGAATTGTGTACTGTACTCAGAGAGTAAGATTAGTTGGATCAACCATTTTTAATCTAGTTATTTCAGTGAGAAATCTTTTGATGGTCAATATTGTCGAATTGAAATGGAAGTTCCCGATGCTGGTGTGGAATCCGGATGTCCACAAACTGATCCGTTGTCAATAATTCTTGGAGTATGCTTCCCAGCTGCTTGTTCTGTTCAAGATTTGGCGAAAGTTTCAGGATGTTAGTTTTCAAAAAATCTTTTGACAAAAATGTCATCAGAGGCACTGAGAGATCATTTCAAAAATCGGTTCACAAGAGATCACGATACCGTAAAGACTGTAATATAAGGGCCCCTTAACTTTTAACTTCGAGCCAATTTTTCTAGGTTCTTGTCAGAAATATAAAAAGGTTATCAACAAAGTGTCACAGGTTTTACGGTAGATAATCTAGATATTTCCGAGCACAGTTTACAGGAATTGATTTAAAACAACTAACAGTTGATATTTGACGTCTGATTTATGATTGTTAGAACATAATTCACCTATTTTCCAATTTTAGACTTTTGGAACGTTTTTTTTAATATCATGTATTTTCAGTGTACCTCCCATACAATCTAAAAGTAGAATGTGAATCCCAAGGTCGTTGGTCAGCCATAACCATTCTTCTGCTTGTTTTATTCGCAGTTTGGTTGGTCCCACAAGCCGTTTCTACCATCCAACCACATCTGAATGATTCCGTTCTTCATTGCTTTTCAATTTCTGAAAATGCAAAAAGAACATTCTCGACGCGACGAGATTCTCCTCATCTTCATGTTGTTCATGGTCTCGAATTCCTTTTATTTTTCACAATTGTTTGTGGAATGGTCTACACTTCATGCTTCCATATATTGGTAAAACGAAAAAAAGATTCTCAAAACAAAATTCGAAATTTCCAGAAAACGTTGCATTTTCTTTCGAAGGCGTTTCATCATTATCAATGCATATTGTCAATAACTATTCGTACCAAATCGATGGACTTCTTGCTCTATCCGCATTTTATACAACTTACATGCTTTTCGGGACTGTTCCAACTGTGAGATCAGCTTTGGAGTCTGTGGCACAGAGATTAGCAAGGTGGGAATTTTATGAAAAACATTTTCGAAAGTTTAAAACCTAATAAATTCAAAAATCGGAATTTCCGGAATTCGGAATTTTCCAAATTTTGAAAATTCATATATTCGGAGATAGAAATTTGAAAATTCAGAAGTTTGAAATTTAAAAAACTAAGAAATTCAAAAAGTCTAAAAATCTGGAATTTGGAATTTTCAAATTTTGAAAATTCAAAGTTTCTTAACTTCAGGAATTTGAAAACACTGATATTTGGGAATCTTGGAATTCGGGAATTCAGAAACTCAGCTATTCCAATATTAGAGATTCAAAAATAATGAATTCCGAAATTCTAAAACACTTAAATTCTGAAATTCCTAATTCTCAAGTTTGGAAATTTTGAAGTGGAGAAATTCTCGAATTCCCAAAAACTCGGATTCCGGATTTCAAAAATTTCCCAATCTCTCGATTTCCGAAGTTCTTAGCTTAATTCTCGCCCATCTTCTCGGATTCAAAAATAATCTAAAAATAACTTTTCTCGCATTAATTTTTGCAAAAAAGGAACAAAAATACTTATTGAATTTCTGAGTTAACAAATGTTTGTCTTAAGTCACAGTAGTTCTAAATTCAGAGTTCTGGATATTTAAAAAAATCTTCAGACAGACTAGAAACAATATTTTAAAAAGTGTATGATGCGGTATTTTCAGATTCTGGCCTGCCTATATTTTCTGTGTAATCTTCATGTACACTGTCTTCCCGGGAGTCTCATCTGGACCAATGTGGATTCATACAGATACTGTGAATCGTTGTGAAGGTGGATGGTGGAAGAATCTGTTGTTTATCAATAACTGGTTCAATGTTACTGACACTTGCGTTGATCTTGGATATGTGATTTCACTCGAAGCACAATACTTTTTGATTCTCATCCTCTTTATCTACTTATCTTCCAAATTTGTCATGATAACTCAGGTTTCATTTTCTCCCCAAATTCAGTCTAGATATTTTGTAAACGTTCAGATTGTGGTCTACCTAATTTTCGGATCATCCATCGTTTTCTCATTTGTCCGAGCCTATAGACAAGATCTCCCACCTGCTCCGATGCTCACTTTAGAACCTGAACCGTAAGTTGAACCCCTATTTGAAACAGAAAAATAAGAAATTGTTTAAGACTGGAAAAGATTTATGCAGTATACGATCAACTGATGCTCAGTCTTTTTGCTAGAAGTAGCAGCTATTGCTTGGGATTCATTTTCGGAATCGGATGTGCAACTGCATCTGAAGATCTTAGAAAAATGGGATTACGATATGTAAGCGATGAATTTCAATTCTTTCATTCTCTTGATATTTTATAGAGATGGCATGCAATTCTAGCAGTTGCATGCATTGCTTCTGGAATCTTCCCATTCGTTGGAGCATTCCCATATTCAGCTTGGAACTGGTCATCCAATTTCAGATTTATGAATGCATTGTACGCAGCTTTTCATAGACCAATGTGGTCTTTCTCTCTTCTTTCTTTCGTCTATCTTTGCCATCACGGAGCATTCAGTTAGTTCTTTAAAAAATTTCTGAGTTCATGAATAAGTTTAGAATGGATCAATGCTCTTCTGGAATGGCGTGCATTCACTCCACTTTCTAAAGTCACCTGGGTTGCTCTTGTTGTCGCTGAACCCATCATTCTCTACTTTTTCTCATCCCTCAACAAGCCTGCTTACGCAACTCATTGGAGTACGGTAGGTCCTTTTTTCTCTCTTTTTGGATTTTCTCGCGCGCGGCATTCGTCAGAGGGAGAAGAGTGAATAATTGATGAAAAGAAAGAGAAAAGTAGAAGAGAGAATCAGATTGATGTGTGATTGGCATGACACTCTTCCCGCCAAAATAGAAGGCTTTTTGTTTATTCATGCAACTCTTCCTATCTTGAAATTTGCGCCGACATTTGAAAGTTCTCATATTGAGAAGACACCTGAAATTTTCGGAAATCAAATTTAGTAATACGGACTTCAAAAAAAATCATCTCTAATGGTAAATGCATAATTTTTTGTGTGATAAGTGGCTGAAGTGAGACGAACACCTGATTGTGAGACTATCAGAGCTATGAAAACTAGGAATAATTACTTTCAAAAACCATTTCTTTTGGAAAAATGCTAAATTTGTTGTTTGCTAAAAAAAATGAAAATTTTTGAGAAGACTTCAATTCAACGGTTTGAAAGATTTCCGTAAAACCTGTTATATAAGTGCCCCCTAACTTTCAACTTTGATCCTATTTATCTCGGTTCCTACGAAAAAAATCAAGAAGTATTGTCAACTGATAAAATGTTTATCATAATCAGAAGTATTTTGTCAGTTGTAAATACTATCTATCAGTCGTAAATAGTTTTTAATACCTCTTATATTAGCCGAGATGAACCGGCTCAAAGTTGACAGTACGGGGGCTTTTTTGTTGTAAATTTTACCGTAGTTGAGGTTTCTGGAAACTCTAACGTTTCGGAAAATATGCTGTCAACGGTTGTCTTTAAAAGTATTGCATCTTAAACCAAGGCTTTATTATTAAACCTGCTTTCGTACTGTAAAATCTGTAATAGAAAGGCCCACACACGGTCAAGTTGGGGCTCAATTTTCTCTCAAATCCTATGCAAGATATCAAAAATGTACCAACTGACAAAAAACTTCTGATATCATGATAAACGTTTTATCCGTGGACAACTTTTTTATAACATTGATAGGAACAGAGATAAATTGGCTCAAAGTTAAAAATTCTGGGGCCCTTCTATCACAGGCTTTACGGTATTCTGATCTCTCGGTCCCTTTCCCCAGTCCTTTTACAAAAATTTCAATTAAAAAGATTGGAAAAAAGTGAAAAGACAAATGTAGGCTGCCCAGGTGCAAAAAGGTAGGTTGAATGACAAATCAACAATCTCAAATGACCCGCGAAATGTACTCTCTCTTTTTTGACACACATTTTCCATTTGCTTTTGGTCATTTAACACAGGTGTTCATTTTCACCCTAAATTGTTCTTTTTTCTTTCAGCTGTACACCGCTATTTCGGCCGCACTTCTCTCCTACATGATTGCGATTTTCTTGGATATATTCGTGACAAGACCCATCAGATATCTAATTTATCCGGAACAAATGCATCGATATGCACAAGCACATACACAGGAACAACAGAGAGCAGCAGCGGTTTAGAGAAAAATAGGAGAAGAGCAACAGATGACAACGGGTTGAATTGGAAATAGTTTATTTTTTAAATGAAATAATTAGAATCGAGCTTGTGATATTTTTAACGATTGTGATAAAAATAAAGTTTTATATACGAACTATGAAAATGAACCATTTGATATGAAAAAAATTGTTCTAGTTTAGAACTGCCTGACTAAAACAGAACGTTCAAATTACAGGGTGGCCCACAATTAGCCAAACTGATAAAAACGGGTGTATATTTAGACATGAGCATCTCTGAAGCACGAACATTGGTAGAAATATCATTATACGTTTGATTCAAAGCTACTGAAATTTTCAAAGCAATTCCTCATGTCTAGGTATTGTTATGATGTTCCAAAGATAAACGGTGGGCAAATAACCATTTGCTGCCAGATCATTTGCTACCGGATCATTTGCTACCAGTGATCAATGGCTACTAGTTATCATTTGCTACCAAATGATCATTTGCTACCGGTGGTATGTCTCCACTATATTAACTGCCATTAAACAAGAAGCCTGATGTTGAACATAAACTGGCAAATGGACAATAGGATAGGATCTGACAAGTTGATAGTTAGGAACAATAGTTATATGTTTAGTTGATATGACACAGGTTCTATGTTTTCTCCAGATTTCAAAGACACAACTGATATGAAAGGTACAAGTTGCTGTGTGTGAATACTGGGGCTTTTATGACACAATCCATGTCTTACAGTACAATACATGTCTTAAAGTTGTGCCTCAATACTGTAAATTTTATTGGCTCCCTTGTTTCAGGCGACTTCGGGGGGTACAACTCATTTCATTTAGGGGTACAACACTCGTGATTCGGGGGTACAATTTTTCTGAGGGAGTTTCTGAATTCCTGAATTTCAGCGCTTGAAAATCTCAGAATTCTTAGCGTTTCAGAACTTTGGAATTTTGGAATCTGAGAATTTCGGAACTTCAGAACAACTAGACATATAACAATTGTTCCCAAGTATCAACTTTTCAGATCCCATCCTAATGACCATTTGCCAGTTTGTGTTTAACATCAGGCTTCTTGTTTCAAAGCAGTTAATCTAGTAGCGACATATCACCGGTAGCAAATGATCCTGTGGTAGCAAATGATAACTGGTAGCAATTGATCACCGGTAGCAATTGATCCGGTAGCAAATGATCTGGCAGCGAATGATTATTTGCCTGAACGGTGTAGTGTTTCTTGCACGCCGTTGTGATTCTCATGATATCAAACAATTTTGACAATCGATAACTCAGCTCAAAGTTGATCAAATAATTTGAAATTTAGCCAGTTTAGTGGTGAATTATTTGGGTTTTTGTACTCCAGATTTGAGCCGAGTACAATGCTTTATTCAAACTTTATGCTAGTACAAACCATTGGACGGGTATTTATGCGCCACCCTATAGAAGAAGTAAAATTTTAGTTTTGAAAGAATCATCCAAGCAATATGTTGCGGATATTAAACTGCCAATTTGAAATTTTGAATTTTTACAGTAATCCATAGTCCCCTGGAAATTTACTAAATTTCCAAAAACAGGGCGTTGTCTCTCTCCCGTCGGTGTTAGTTTTTTATGCGCTCTGACCTTGTCACCACCTCAATTTCTCATAAAAAAAGTTGTTGCGAATATAAAAGACTGTAAAAAGAGTGTGCCGCCTGTCCCAGTGTATGTCCTCGAATTGTCCATTGTTTTCATTATGGGACTCTTTCTTTTCACCTCTTCCGACTGCTTTATGGATACGCATGCCGACGGATTAGAGGAATTTTCTCTGTCTCTTCATTCCGGTATACGAGTTGTTCGCGGATATAAATCACTTCGAGTGGTCCGCACATAGGAAGGTATAATAAATATCAAAAAGAAAACTGTCATTTTCTTTTTTTATACAAAGGAAAAAGTGAACAATAAAGGTTGCATAAGTTACTGGGAATGGGAATAGTTGGATTTCCAGCTGATGACTCAAATTGGCGGTTTCGCTTGTGATAAATGTCTTGTGATAAATGTCCATCTGTATTTGAATTACGAAATTTCGAAATAACGAGCTTTTGATCTACCGTAAAGCTTTTAACAGATGGGTCCACACTTATCAACATTGAGCTCAATTATATCATTTCCTATGCAAGATATAAAAAATTTGTCACCTGACTAAACATTTCTGATATTATGATAAACCGTTTATCAGTTGGCAACTTTCTCATATCTTTGACAGAAAGCCAAAAAAATGGGCTCACAGTTTAAAGTCATTTACTGTAGGTTTTACGGTAGTCTTTGATACCATTACATTACTGTGAAATCCATAGAATTTATAAAGTAGCTACACTCAGAATTTTTTGATCTGAAAGCCATTCATGACAATTTCAAAGTTTTTCGTTTGTTTACATAATCCTAATTACTTATTACCATAATCCTCTCTTATAAACCCCTTCTTTGCCATTCGAGTACCTCTTCACAGTTGGATACCTGACAAAAAGAACACCTCGTTTCTAAAAAAGAAGAAAAATACAGATGCTGACACCCAATTACTACTGACAAAAGAAGTAAGATGCTCTCGGTGGCACCTCTTTTCGGTACAGGTGGCACTAATTAGGCATGTGTTGTAACATTTTTTCTATTGTTTCCATTCAGTTTCTGACCTTTTCTGAATCGGGAGAGATACAATTTCAGTTGGTGTTACATCTGGAAACACGTGGAATTTGATGCAGCGGGGATGTGTTCAGAATAGGTGTGACATATGATACTTCTATAGCAGGTACGGTATATGTGAAATTCCGTTCTAAGACTTCCCAAAATCAAGTTAAAGATTTTTTTTCTAATGTGGTGCAGTGCAATACCGTTCAAAAAATTTCCAACTTTTTCAGTGTCAGTTTGGGAAGTGTAGGTGTTTTATAACTTTAAACTTGATTCATAACTTTAAGCTTCGAGCCATTTTATCTCGGTCTATGTGAAAGATATCGAAAAGTGTTCAACTAATAAAATATTTTTCACCAGCAAGCTGGTGCGCCTTCGGCGCGATTCAATCTATTTTTTTAAATGTTCGTCGCTTCGTTTCTCACTTTTTCTAAATGAAAGGGTCACGTAAATATAAATGTATTTTTCAATTTTTTCAAAAGTCCACAGACGGACACGAGGACGGACAGACGCCTCTAGCGTTTTATAAATAAGGAAGATATCATAATTGACATTTTGTTTATTAACAACTTTTAAATATCTTTCACAGGGACCAAGATAAATTGGCTCAAAGTTGACGGTTTTGGGGGGGGGGGCGTTCTATTAAAGAGTTTGCAGTATATGCTTCCGAAACAGTTGATTTTCCTTTTTATAATTTTTCAGGAAAAACTATATTTCTATTCTCCAGAAAATCAGAAGTTTGTATTTATGTTATCTTGGAAAACTAACATTTTCAGTCCCTAAATGAGTAGAAGAATGAATTGCGGCATGTTGTTCTCTTTTTTTCCATTAACAGTTTTTTTTTATTTAGCTCCTTGTATTCTAAACTTTTGAGCGCATGGTCTAAAAGGCCCCTAGTCCATGTGCCAAAACAATGTCCAATATGTTCACACTCAATTATATCTCCAAACCGGAAGAATTGATTGCTCTTTGTTGCTGCCACTCAAGTGGAGGGTTGTGTCTTCGAGAGGTGTTACCGTAGTCATGTGCTACTGTTCGAACTTCTTCTAATTGTTTAGAGAAAACGAATCCTTGAATTCCCATTATTTTTCCATCACTATAAACTGCATTTCTCACACTAGTCCCCATTCTTTTGCTTCCTTTTCTTCCAACAATATATCGTCACTTCTCTCCGGAATACTTCGAATCGCCGCTGCGCCCAGCTCCGGAAGTTTCCCGTCGATAATTATGGGTCGTGGTCTCTTTTCCTTTTTCTTTTTGCTCGATTCTGGAGCACAGAGCTTTGAGAGATGAATTGTTTCCGTAGAAGAGAATGAGAGAGAAAAGAACCACGAATAGAAGGCGCCATTGTTCAGGAAAACAGGAGAAGACCGACACAGTTCCCGGTATTGTATGGATTAGACGAATTTTTGCAAAATTCTAGATTCTGAAATTGTGAGCTGACCATTCGTAGGTTCTCCAATCTTTAATTAGATCCAGAAATACCATAACATTTACATCAGAATATTTTAGAATGAAAAATCGCCTTGTTAGAAAACGAATGACCCCTTCTTACCTTCTGTCTAGCCAATAAAAAAGCAATTCAAAAAAGTGTCGAAGCACCTCCATCGATGGATATATCTCCTCTAAAGCGTTCCGACCATATGGCACACGATGTTCCTCCAATCCGGCTCTATCCACACCGTCCTTCTTCTTTGAAATCACCTGTGGAAAGGGAGGAAAACGTCCCAACCGCTTCTTCTTCTGTCACAATGTGAAAAGATACCGACATGAACTGAGAAGGAGAAGGAAGGTCTTTCCGGGAGAAAAAGGAGCTCTTTTCCTATAATTAGGTGCGTGTTTTGCCGCCCAGAATATTTGAAAATAAAAGAGAAGGAAGAAGAAGAAGAGGATGAAAGGGTGGTGAGAAGAAGACGATAGAAATGTATACACTACGCTCGATTGAGCATGTTTGGAAAGTGTCGATTTTATGGGGTGTCCGAAGAGCGAAATGTTTCCGGATGAATATTCGGGATTACTGTATTCATCGGGGGTCATCAAGTTCTAAAAATATGGATTTTTAAGAAAGACGATAATTCAAAGGAAATTTCAAACAAATGAACTTAATGATTGAACTTCTGAAAAAATAATCTAGACTATAAATTATTGATATCTGATTTTTTTTTTGAAAATTCTTGAGAAATGATTTCCACCTCAAAGGTTTCCTGAAATACTCCGCCCTTACAAAAGCACAGAAACTTTGAAATCTCTCGAACATTTCAAAAAGCTTTAGAATTTGAAAATTACAGAATCTGACCCGGGTCGACCGGCCGGACCGGAGAACGTTTCATTTAGAAACTGCATGGCCCGTCCAGGAAAAG